GAAAATGATTAAATATAACCAAAAATCGTCATGAATCACTTAGATTTGGCAGTTGTAGGATCTTAAATATGCTGTATAAAATTAAGTCTAAGCTAACCGCGATTAGCAAATATAGCAAATAAATAAATTTGGTTTTAAACATGGCATTACTTTATCATTCATTATCACTCAACATTACAAAATTGTCAAAGTTATCGTAAAATTGTTATCATAAAATTCTCCTACCTAGGGCAGACCTTAAATAAAGACTAAAGATTAAAAAAAGTTTTAGCACACAACAAACTATTTTTTTTTTTATTTAATCGACAAACAAGGCTGTCAATGTAAAAAAAGGAAAATCAATACTATAGAGAACTTAAGCTAAATAAAACTAATGAAATAAATAGTGATACAAATTCATAATAATTCGTTTTACGAGATATTATAATTTGCAAAGAAAAAACATTATAAATTACTAGAAATAAAAGAAAATAAACTAAAACGGCAGAAATAAATAATAAGCAAATACTTCATTGAAGCAAATATTTTATTGAAATACTTTTCACAAAAATAACTCGATGACTTTTTTAGAAAAAAATGAATGTATAACTTTTTTTTTAATAATAATAATTCACTGAGATATTATCATTTGCAAAGAAAAAATATTATAAATTACTGGTAATAAAAGAAAATAAAGGAAAACGGCAGAAATAAATAATAAGCAAATACTTTATTGAAGCAGATATTTTTCACATAAATAGCTCGATGACTTTTTTAGAAAAAAGTGAATGTATAACCTTTTAATAAAATACAAGTAATAATTCCTTTTTTATTGGATTTATCATATCAGATATTATCATTTATTTGCAAAGAAAAACTCATTCTAAATTACTAGAAAAAATACTACGAAATAAACAGCCAATATCGCCATTGACACAATCTATAGATATAGATAGATGTATGCAGCTTAACTGACATTCATAACTAACGAGCATTCTATGCAGGCAGGGGGTTTCGTATCTCATTAAACAGCCCTCACAGTATCATATAACTTGTTTTGCATTTTGTTTGTTTCCTCCTCTTGTTATAAGGCAGCAAGCTCAAAAGGAAGGGCAGGGTGAGGGTAAAGACTGCGTCAAAGAAAGGGAAATAGGGAATGGCGCGTTGAATTTTCCAGTAGGCCACAAAAAGAACTTAAGCCAACAGCGTTTCTTTTCTCGTCTAGGCATAATTCAATTTGTGGCGGAACGCGTTTGCGTTTTCTCTCTCTTGCGACAACAACAGCAGTAAACAAGTTACAAAACCTTAACCAACCACCACCCCTTCTTATATATATCTACATTATCTACATTTATAACTAAATACGCGTTTGTGTGTGTGAGTGTGTATCTGTATCTGTATCTGTGCGACAGGTAGCGCTTAAATCTCTCTACAACGGCTACAGCGGTGCAAAGAATTTTGAAATTGTTAATGCAACAGCAGTTGAAACTGCTGCGCAATCTTTACCAACTGACTGCATTAGCAAAACCTTAAGAGCCCATCAAGCATACGCCACGTTGTACCTGAATGATATAACATACAAATATACAAATATATATATATATATATAGTGAGAATAGTGTTAAATAAAGCCTTGTACTTGTGTGTGCCGAGAACAAATACAAAGTCCCAGTGCGATTTAAATCAACGCCATCCTGGGTAATTTGTGGTTAATTGTCAAAGGTGAGTAAACCAAAAACATCAGACTTTGTGGCAAAAAAGGAAACAACAGCAGAAACAGCAACAACAACAATAACAACAACAACAACACACTCAGGTTGAAAAGCAACAAAACTGTGTCAGCATATAAATATAATTATTAAAACAACATTAAAAGTAAATAAGTTGTGAGCGCGCTCCTGTAATTAAGAGTGAAAAGTGAAAATGGGAAATGGCTCTGACAACGACAGCAAAAATGTCAAAAGCTGCTTGTATAGTAAAGCAAACATCAGACCTCAACCAATACAAGCGACATTTCTATAAATGTAGGCCTATAATTACTTGTGGAGGAGTGAGCGCAGAACGAACATTTGATGGCTCCCACCATGAAATGGAGCGTCAACTTGTCGATAAGTAGTTGACGTTAGTCGGCTCGTTGAGTAAGCCAAAAACAGAGGGCATTGCCCCAGCCCCACGGTCCATTTGATTCTTAATTAGCTGCGCATCCAGACCACAAAGCCATTACATTTTGTCAGTTTCTTGAAATTAAAACATGCAATACTACTTATTTTGGTCCTACAAGCTGACATCCTCTGTCTGGCGCAGACTCTTTCTTTAGAGTGAAAGCCTTATCCTTAGTGAAGGTATTTGATTGATTCTAGTTCAGCTTCTTTATTTCGTCTAATATGGAAGTTGTATCGAAGGCACTTGAAATAATCTATTAGTTCTCTTTATATCAGACATCTTGAAGAAGGTTAATGGAAATTCTCTGCACATTATATAAATTTTCAAATGCACATTCTTTGAGAATAAAAAGTTTATACAATATTAAGAGACATGAGATAATAAAGGCATAATTTTTAAAATCTTGTCAAATGAGGATTGAAAGGTTTCCTATAGAGTTTTTTAAAAGCTTTCTTTAAAAAGTTACCCACAGCACAAGCAAGTGAAGGCATTGGCAATCAGATATTTAATAAAGGATTAATATATAATATATATTGCTCTATTTTTTTTATAAAAAGCTTGTATCAAAAACTTACACATTTTAGCAAAAAATTTACTTATGAAGGATGTGTAATGTGAAGCTTCTGGATAAAGCTTCCAATACGACAATCTCTCATAAGATTGCTTTTACAACAGAAATAAATGGGATTTTATGGTCCGAAGCCTAAGGAATTATTCCCCAAATTCAGCTTAAATAATGTACACTGCTTTTATTTAAGCTTAAACGGCAGAAATAAATAATAAGCAAATACTTCATTGAAGTAAATATTTTATTGAAATATTTTTCACAAAGAGAACTAGTTTACTTTTTTTAAAAAAAAGTCAAAGCATAACTTTTTTAATAATAATTTCTTTTTTTTGGATTTATCAGATATTATCGTTTGCATAAAAAAGGAAATAATTTGAAACTAAAAAGAAATAAATAATAAGCAAATACTTCATTGAAGCAAATATTTTACTGAAATATTCTGCACAAAAATAACTCAATGACTTTTAAAAAAAAGTGAAAACATACATTTTTTTAAAGCAACTGCTTTTGGTGTTTATACTTCTGCAGCAACGGAGAGAGTTTAATAAATAAATAAATCATTTCACCTGAGAAAACAGTACTGCGCCAAAAAACATTGAAGTACCAGCATTTCAGATTTAATCAAGCAAACTAAACAGGATGCCTTGTGCAACATTTTAGTATAGGAAGAGCGCCTACAGGGCGTAATAGTAATAACCAAATAATATGTCATAAAATTCTACTTAGGGCAGTTCTTAAATAAAGAATAAAGATTTAAAAAAAAAAAATAGTTTTTTGTAAACATGCAACAATATTTGATTTACTTTTTAATTAATAAACAACTTAACTTAACTTTAAAGTAAATAAAACTATTAATAAACAAGTTGCATGTAAGCTGAAGCATTCTGTGGCATGCTCTGCTTTCGGAAAGCGTGCCACAAACATTGCATGTCAAACGGCTGTTTGCAGTTGCACTCTGAGATATTTGCTTAGGCATTATTTATCTATGATGGGCACGACAGGCATGCCACAGATAATTTGTTGCAAGTTAATCAGGTAACAACAATTTTAATTGATTTTCGCAAATAAAGAGCTGATCGGTTTGTTGCACTGATTTGGCAGACAATTACCGCTTTTGCCTTTTAATGTCAAGTTCAAGTTCGTAGTTGCGGGCCATAAATAGAATAAATATAGAAAGAGAGAGAGAGAGAGAGAGGGGGGGGGGAGAGGGGGAGAGAAGGAGAGTAGAGGAAGGGAGGGCGGAGTGGGCGGAAGGGGACAGCAGCGCCAATAAATCTTTTTTGGCATAAAGAGCAGAAAACTGACAAAGGCCCTAACACAAAACATTTTGTAACGCAAATCGCGCAGATTGTCTTAATTATTTCGAGACGATATTGGCACGGAAATATGGCGAGCGAGCAACCAATAGTATGAACTAGTTCAGCGTTTGAAATTTAAATTGAAAATATTCACTCGATGGGTTGGATGGCTGCCCAATAGATTGTGAGTGATGTTGATGTTGGTGGTCCGAGGACTGGGCAGAGAGTTAGGACACACATGATTTATGAATGACAACTTGGCCAGTTAAAGTCGATAGCAGCAACAACGACTATAATTACCGGACAAATGCCAAACATATAGCCAGCAACTTGGCATTTAGCTCGCCAGTGCGCTTGTACCAAGCGGGACGAGCTGGTCAAGGACATGCACAAGTACTTGTATTGAGAAGTGCAATATCCATGGACATTAAAAACTGCGACCATATAATGCCAACAATTGAGCGCTCATTTGAAGCGATTAGCGGGTGACATTATTTGCATGAAACCGAAGTCGGGCTATTAGATAACAAATGGAAACGTACTATAAATGAAAATGCAAATGAAGAGTCGCTGTCTATAGAGTCCTATTGTGTGGGTGGGTGTGTGTGTGTGTGTGTGTGTGTGTGCGTGTGTGTGTGTGTGTGCGTATGTGTGGGTTGGTGGGTGGAACAATCAATTTTCACGTGGAATTTTCCGCTGTCTGATAATTACGAGCGTCAATCAAACAGTTGCATGTGCGTGCCAAAAATGAACTAAAATAGGTAGAATAGTGCCCAGAGTTGGGTTTGTGGGTATAAGTATTGCCATAATTTAGGTCCGACCGCGTCATTATAGCACTCAACTCGCTCGCTCTTTCTCTCCATCTCGCCCTCTCTCTTTCTCTCTGGCATTAATGCTCTCTCTTGTCGACTCCCACCCATGCTCCTGCCTCCAGTGCGCTGACTATAAAAGCGCGCGTTGAGCGAGAGAGTCGCACATTAACGGGAGCACGCCTGAAGTTAACGGTTCAGCATAGTCAAGGAGCAGCAGAGTCCTTCAGTCTACAGCAGAGAGTGAAAACGAAAGCAATTGACTGCCTTTAAAGCAGAAAAATCAGCAGAAAAAAGTCAAGCGTTTAAAGTGTCATCGAAAGAAAAGAAAAAATTAGCAGTTGAAATCAGAGTTCACAAAAGCCTGCCGCCTGCATTTCCAATCCTTTGGGTGTGCGTGTATGCGTTTGTGTGTGTATGTATTTGTGCATCTCGTTGAGTGTATGACACAGATTTCTGAATAGTCAAAAACTCAGCAGCAGCAGCAGCCCCAAACAAGCCCCAAACAGCAGCCAAGGAGCCGTTTTTATCGATTATTTACAGTCGCAACTGTAAAGTTAAGGGGAACAACTGCATCGCCTGCCTCGCCTGAAGGTCAACAAATCATTTTTGGAGCAAGTCCTTTAGAAAGCCACAACAACGGAGCCATTAATCCAGCAACATTTGTTGGTAGGGGTAGTCCAAGACGCTTCTACAAAAAGCAAAACGCAACTTCTCAACGAAAAGAAGACAACGCCTCATCGGTAGGAGTCAGCTGAACCTGCTCCCCGCTCAACGGAACAATCGCCATACGCTCGCCATCTCGTCTGTCCAACTACCATGGCTTATCATCTAATCAACATCCTCAAGTTCAATGTGAAGTACTTAAAAAATCAATAACTCGAACAGCACAGCAATTGCACATGTGTGTGGACAGCCGAAAAGGCGCATCAGATAAAACAAAAGAAATATAAAAACCGAAAGACATATAGAGCAGGGCTTTTATCATATCTACCACTCGATTCGATTATATTGCTGTCTCGCTTGTGCACGCCATTTCCCTCTGCTGTTGTTGTTGTTGCGTTACTTCTGTTGTTGTTGTTGTTGCCGCTGCTCCCAAAGTCGTGCCCGCGCCACCCCCCCACCTGGTTCTGCGGACAATGGAAAAGTCTGAGAAATTTTCAGATTACCTCTTTGCCAAAATGGGTCCCCCGAACACGACGTCCGTCAATGGCAGCGAGCTACCACCCAAGACCACGGAGCGCAGCGATGCGCCCATCGAGCTGACCGGCTATCGCAAATGGCTGAGCGATAATCTAATGCTGCTAGTCACGCTGTCGGGCGTCCTCCTGGGCGTCACATTGGGTGAGTAATCGCTTTAAGCCCAGTTAGTGGCCGTTAAGACATTCACAGAACTGCTAAGCACCACAGTGAAGCCCATTAAACACTAATGGGCAGAGAGCTTCTTTACTGCTCTATATTTGGCTAATGCTTCTATTATTAAAAAAATTATTGATAGAAGAAGGCAAACTATTGATCCGAATACAAGTAGAAAATGAAACTTTAAAAGAAATTGAAAGAGCTGGAAATAATATGAATATTAAAGTATTAACGAAAAGTATAAAAATGTAAAAAGTTGAGCAGATAGACAAAAATAAATCAATTCCTGAATAAATGAATTCTTCAACTATACGAACATTAAAAGGCTTTGACAAGGGCGTACGCAATATTTTTTACAAAATTGTCTATACAAGTATATGACTAATGCTTCTATTATTAATTAAATTATTGATAGAAAAAGGCAAACTATTGATCCGAATACAAGTAGAAAATGAAACATTAAAAGAAATTTGAAAAATGTCAGTAACTAGCGGGCTGGAAATAGCAAAATAACTATACTAAAATATTAACAAAAAAGTATAAAAGTGTAAAAAGTTGAGCAGATAGTCAAAAATAAATCAATTCCTGAATACGCAATACTTTTTACAAAATTGTCTATACAAGTATATGACTAATGCTTCTATTATTAATTAAATTATTGATAGAAAAAGGCAAACTATTGATCCGAATACAAGTAGAAAATGAAACGTTAAAAGAAATTTGAAAAATGTCAGTAACTAGCGGACTGGAAATAGCAAAATAACTATACTAAAATATTAACAAAAAAGTATAAAAGTGTAAAAAGTTGAGCAGATAGTCAAAAATAAATCAATTCCTGAATACGCAATATTTTTTACAAAATTGTCTATACAAGTATATGACTAATGCTTCTATTATTAATTAAATTATTGATAGAAACTATTGATCCGAATACTTACAAGTAGAAAATAAAATTTTAAAAGAAATTTGAGAGATGTCTGAAACTAGCGGGCTGGAAATAGCTATAATATGAATAATAAAATATTATCGAAAAGTATAAAAATAATTATAAAGCTCCGACAACGGCTTACGCAATTTTTTTTACAATATGAAGTACAACACAAATTCATTATTATAACGCACTATTTCGCCATAAAATGGAACTGAGCTGGAAGTGTTGCAGTTTTTATTTTAAATTGATCATTATTATTTAAAAATATCGTGCATTATTTAATGAAAATGTTCATTCTTTGGTCCCTTTGGAAAAAGCTGCGTACGCCCTTGGGCTCTGACAAATTAATTAATTATTAATTAATGCTATAATCATTTAGGCCAACAGAAAGCCAATTGTATAATAATATCTTAATAAAATCTAATAATAATATTCAAATCAATAAGTGAACGAAAGTAACAAAAGTGAATATTTTGCCTAAGATAATAAGATATTAGAGAGATATAGGAAATTAATAGGAGAGAGCTCTAAGAAAGTAAAAATAATAAATGTATAAAAAATTGAGCAGACATTCAAAAATTAATGGACTCTAGAAGGGTGGCAGAAAGAACAATAAGAAATATAAAGGCTCTAACGCTGCAATCGAATTTTTTTTTCTTTTTTAAATGTATGTACAATTTATTAAACCAGTATTCTGATACCAATAGACAGCTACCAGTTATATAATAATATTTTATTTAAAACTAATCAGAAAAAGAAAATTAATAATTGAACGAAAATAACAAGAGCGAATATTTTGTGTCCAAAACAATAAGACATTAGAGGGATATGGGAAATTAATGAGGTGTAGAAAATCTATATATGTATGTAAGTATAAATGTCTGGAGAAGACAAGGGAAATTGCAATAGAGAGGGACAAATAAATATTAAATAGGCATCAATAGAGAGACAATTTAACGACACTCAGAGCCGAATTAAAAAATCCATAAAAAAATCCTGGGCTATATAATCCCTATATCGATTACAGTCCCTGAAAATAAAAATTATTATAAGCACTTAAGAGATCGAATCTTTGAAGTGGAAGTACTAAATACTAATTTTCTCGTAATTAGTACACCTAATTCTGTTTTTACACGGTAGATTGGTTCCAGAAACAACCGTGTAAAAAAAGACATTGATTATATGGAAAAATAGATGATTGGTTCCTTGTCTCTAAATAAATATATATGCAATTTATATCAAAATCGTGTAAAAAAGACCGTGTAAAAACAGAATTAGGTGAATATTTTTATGATTTAAGTTACCAAAGCCATGAAAAAAACCTTTTTATTTGTTTTTTTTTTATTTAGTTTTTAAGTTACTGAACCTATTCAGTTGAGCCAAAAAAATAGGCATTTAATGTTATGTTTTTGAAAAAATTAAAAAAAAAATGGAAACCAATTTTCTTTGCGGTTTTATTAACAAATAACTATTCTTTCTACAAAATATTATTTGATCAAAATCGACGATTTGGTTGAAAAGCTATAGCTATTTGAACTTTTGAGAATCGTTGAACCTATTCAGTTGAGCGGCAGTGTATATGTATATAAGGGTATATATTAAGAGTGTGTTAACAAAGATCGATAACGTCTCAACATGAAACCAAAAAAGACTACCTTTTCGTGTAATTAATGGCATGCAATTAAGAGTTAATAAGTCATGAAAAGAATGAAAGTAATGGAAACTCTTAGCCGGGTTGTGAAATAGTGAAGGAAATGGAAAATATTCTTTAAAATCAAACAACATAAACTTGCCTTTATTGATTCCACTAAACGAAAGTAAAGTCAAGCATAATAAAAAACTGATTTGTATATATAACGACTGACACAAGAGACGTGTGCCATGGTCGTCGGGGGCTAAGATTTTCATAGATTGTGACATGGCCTTGAAGGCGGGAGGAGCTGGTGTTGCATACTTTGTGGCGTTGAGTGCGCAACACAAGCTAAATATATGTATAGCTAGAAAGCCATGCCAACGTCAACACAACGACTTCAATTAGCTTAGCATGCGACGCATTAGCAGACAATTTAATAGACAGCTAACTAAGTAACGGAGGCCAGCAAAGTGCTCGACTAGTTGCTCATCATCATCATCATCATCATCATGATCATGAACATATAGTGAATGTACATAATTATTCTCATTTATAGGTCTGTCCTTGCGTCCGCTGCATTTGCATGGCGATTCAATTATGCTGATTTCGTATCCTGGCGAACTGTTTATGCGTCTCCTGAAGTTAATGATTCTGCCGCTGGTGATTTCGAGTCTGATAGCTGGCTCGGCTAGTCTGAACGCTAAAATGAATGGCAAAATTGCACTGCGGACGCTTTTCTACTTTGCCACCACTTCCTTTTTCAATGCGGCACTCGGCATTGCTCTGGTATTGTTGGTGCATCCTGGAAATCCGGATCTGCATAATGCCGACAACCGGTCGACGGACAGGAGGGCCGTCAATCTGTTGGACAGCTTACTCGATTTAGGCAGGTGAGTAAGTAAAGTAAAGCAGTTAAATAGGTGACAGAAAATTGTTGTTAACTTATTGTTACTTTAGTTAAGTTAATTTTATTCCAAGAAAATGCGCAACAACTAAGTCTTAAGACGGCCCATACGTTTAAAGTCGCTAGCAAAACGCACGCAAACTGCTTGAGCAAAGCTGCTGCTTTAAATATGCTTTACTGCATGAACTGCCTACACTGCTTGCTTTGATAGCTCATGAAGCAGTGCAATGCAGTAAGGCGCGAACTTTTATTTAAAAATTTTCTTTTATTCTTTTGAAAACAAATTGAAAAATTAGGCGAATAGAAAAATTCATTAAAAAATAACATGAAGAGCGCTTTTAGCAAGTAATATTTGTACTAAGACCAGCATGTAATAAAGTTCAAGTTCATGTAAATATTAGAATTTTGGTTTAAACAAATTATATTTGTTGCTTAAAATAAATTTATTCTTAGGATTAATTCTAAGTTACAAATGTTAAAATAAATAAATAAATAATAAATAATAATTTTATTATAAGTGACATATACAATGTTGCATTTCAGACATATTCTGACATGAAAGAAGAAAAAAGATTCTATGAAGTGCAATGCATTAAAGCGCGAACTTTTATTTAAAAACTTTCTTTGATTCTATTAAAACAAATTGAAGAATTAAGCGAATATAAAAATTACATAAAAAAAATAGAGCGCTTTTAGAAAGTGATATTTACACTAAGACCAGCATGTAATAAAGTTCAAGTTCATGTGAATATTAGAATTTTATATTACAATAATTATATTTCTTTGCTTAATATAAGAATGAATGAGAAAGTAAGAATTTTATTATAAGTGACATATTTTGGATTTTAGACATATTCTGACATGAAAGAAGAAAAAAAGAATCTATGCATATTGCTTAAAAAGACAAGCATTATTTAGAGTTATGATTAAACAATGCAAAATAAAATATTAAATTAAAAAAAAGTATAAGTAATAAGTAGAGCTATCGAATCATCGTTCTAATCATATGACTGTAGATCTCTTTGAGGAATTAGTTGTAATCTAATAATGTTAAGTAATGCTTCTCAAAACCCGCTAAATTTGCCATTTGTTTTGAACTCTCTTTCAGCCTTAATTGCAAAAGCATATCCAGATAATCATAATTACTATCCTTTTATAATTAGAGCCATTTTAAACCACAAATTTCCCAGGCTTAAAATGATTTGAATACCCAGCCACTCCAAGATTAAAGGCAATGACCAAATCGCCACTTCTCCCCCTCTTATTTTCACAGCGAACAACAATAGCTCTGACCTCAAACACTTCCTTAACATTATTTTAGTTCAAAAACACTTCGATCGAACCAAATTCACTTCCAGTTGGTACAAAAAACTCAACAATAAATACTGATCCAGCCACTTTTCTTTTCTTAAATAATTAAATACCTTCACAAAGCGCAAATTAGTGATAAAATTTAAATCTGACTTTTTAAGTTATGCCGCTACTTACTTACTCTATAAATATTGCATAACTAATATTGTTTAAGTAAATTTATTTAATTCGTACTTCTAAAAACTATAAAGGCAACACTCTGCCACGCTCTTCATCTCTTTAACGGACGAAACTCGACATTTGTTAACAAAGAAAATCAATTTTAAAAAATTCACTTACTTTTAATTATTCTTATAGTTTGTAAATGTGTCCGGTTTCTCCTTTAATTACTTTTGCATACTCTTTCATTGATTGTAAAACCTTAAGATTCTGGTAGTGATAGCTATTCCTGTTTGCTGTAAGTTTTTAAATTTAAGCGAGCATTAAATAAATACATAAGTATATACTTATATATAATAGTAATAAAGTTTGCAAATGTATCCTGTTTCTCCATTAATTACTTGTACATACTCCTTCATTGATTGTAATAGCTTAAGATTCTGGTAGTGATGGCTATTCAAACCCTGTTAGCTGTAAGTTTTTAACTTTAAGCTAGCATTAAATAAATACTTAAAAGTATGTAAGGCTGCTTCTTTTCTCTCATTTATTTCGTAACAATGTCTGCTATTATTAATGGATTTAAGTGCTTTCAAATTCTGCCCTTTCTCTGTGTTATATTTTCCATTGCCCTTTTCTCTTGCAGAAACATATTTCCGGACAATCTATTTCAAGCCTCCATTCAGCAGGCCCACACCGTCTATCTGCCCAAGCCGACCATTTTGCATAACTTCAACGAAACTCTGAACGACACCGTGTTGGTGCCGAATGGAGTGGAGGCCCAACAGCAGTTGGACGATGGTGTGGAGACCGTGCTCATAAGGGATGTCCAATACCGAAGTGGCACCAACACGCTGGGCATTGTTTTCTTCTGCCTGGTCTTCGGCACCTTCCTCGGCACCATTGGCCAGAAGGGCCAGGTTGTGATCGATTTCTTCTCGGCCGTGTTTGAGGTCATCATGAAAATCGTCACCTGCGTCATGTGGCTAACACCGGTAGGGAGAATGTACACTGGAATAATGAGTTTTATTCATTTTTATCACTTTTTTTTTTGGCAGGTGGGCATCAGTTCGGTCATCGCGGGCAAAATACTGAGCGTCGACGACTTGAGTTTGGTTATGGCCCAGCTTTTCTGGTTCATCTTCACAGTGGCCATTGGCGTGGTCATCTATCAGTTTGTGGTGATGCAGGCCATTTATTTTGTGTTCGTGCGCCGTAATCCCTTCAAGTTCTATGCCGGGCTCATACAAGCCATGTTAACCGCATTTGCCACCGCCTCAACGTAAGCCAATATCTCTCTCTCTCTCTCTCTTGTCTTTGTCTTTGTCTTTCTCTCTATATATATTTTGAATACTACGAGAATTGAAAATGCACAAGCAAAAGCCAAAAGTTCTCTTTAATACTAACTATTGATGTACAACCAACTGCGAATTGTTAACATGCTACAAGTATTTTTTCCTTCTTTTTGGTTTCCAATTTATGATTTTCCATACGTTGTTGTTGTTGTTGTTATGAAAACTCTTTCGTTTTTCAACTAAACACGCACAATTAAACCATTAAAACATAACGAAACAAACAAACCAAAACCAAAACAATTACAAACCGAAACAAACTCCAAAATGTAACCCAAAAAAAAAACAAAATCGAAATCAACACAAAAACAAATGTATCGCCTCACTGTAACTGCCACTCACTGTTGCTGCCACGCCCCCCTTGATGCCTGCAGCGCGGCCGCCCTGCCGATCACATTCCGCTGCATGAACGAGAAGCTGCGCGTGGATCAGCGGATCACGCGCTTCGTCCTCCCCATCGGCTGCAACATCAACATGGATGGCACAGCCCTCTATATAGCCGTCGCCTCGATCTTCGTCGCCCAGATGAGCGGCATGACCTTGGGCTTTGGCGAACTGGTGACCGTGCTCCTCACCTCGACCGCCGCCTCCATGAGCTCGGCCAGTGTGCCGAGTGCCGCTCTGGTCCTTCTCCTCGTCGTCTTGACCGCCATCGACGCACCCGTTCAGGACGTAACGCTCCTCTTCGCCGTGGACTGGTTCGTGTAAGTGGCCCCCTATTTGTAACGCTCTCCCAGTCTGACAATCCCTCTGTTCTATAGCGATCGCATTCGTACCACCAACAACATGCTGGGCGATTGCTATGCCGCCGCCGTTGTGGAGGAACTGTCGCGCAAGGAGCTGATGGCGTTGGATGCCGCTGCCGTTAACTATCCGGTAATCGAACACATTCCTTGTTCCCTTTACGAATTTTAAAAGTGTTTTGAAAGGCAGGGTTCTGATTAAATTCACTTTTCAAATTGGAAACTTAATTAAAGCATTTCCGGTATGGGTTCATTCGAATTTATTTTCCTGACCCATTTCTATGAACACATTGGAGCGTAGGCAGTGAAATCAATTAAAGGACATTCTCTAAAGTTGGTTAAAGTAATTGTCTAGAAAAGAAGAATACAACGTTGAATGAGGGACTGTATTTAACTGTATTTTAATTTATTTTTTTTAACGAAAAAATCACTTTAAAGGACATTCTCTAGAGTTGGTTAAAGAAACTCTCTAGGGAAGAACAATACAAGTTTGTTGAAGGATAGCATTTAAATATGGTTTCAAAAGTAGAAAAAAAAAACGAATTCATCATTTTTTTTTTTAACGAAAAAATCACTTTAAAGGACATTCTCTAAAGTTGGTTAAAGAAATTCTGTAGAGAAAAAGAATTAAAAGTACGGTGAAAAATTATATTTAAATATGGTTTCAAAAGAAGGGAACGCAAATATTCATTATTTCGTTTTTTAACGAAAAAATCACTTTAAATGTCATTCTCTAAAGTTTGTTCAAGAAATTCTCTAGAGAATAAAAATAAAAAGTTCGATGAGGTTAAATATGATTGAAAAAGCAGGAAAAAAAGCAAATAATCATTAGTTTGTTTTTTTTTTTTAACGAAAAAATCATTCACCTCAACTTTGAGAATGCGCGGAATATCCTTCTTTTAGGATTATCTTTGCATGTGAAATATTTTAATTATTATTCATTCTCTCAAAATTAAAAAAAATAATGTTCATAGAACTATGGTTATTCTTTGAGCTTGATTTTGGTAATCAAAAATAAATCTCAAGCTGTAATTTTGCCTGAAAATATTTTTTAAGAATGTTTTTAGCTCAAAACTTTACGGATTCATCTTGGATTATTGTTGAAGGGTATATATATATTTACATTTCTTCCTTAATCCGTATGAAAAAATCAGGGACAATTACAACTTGGGGCTTATTTTCGATCAAAAAATAAATAAATAAAACTTAAAGAATAATTATCACTATTTGAGTTATATTTTTTGGTCAAAAATAATGATTATTAGTTATTTTCTAAAGTAAAACTCAAAATTAATCAATTTATTGTGAGTAAATGAATAAAATTAAAAAAAAATACATCTTTCTGTAATTTTTAGAATAACATATAAAACGATTACAGTTAAAATTAACAGTTAAAAATTACAGTTAAAAATTACAGTTAAAATTACTGTTAAAAATTAGTGTTAAGATTTGCAGTTAAAAAGTACAGTTGAAAATTAGAGTTAAAGTTAAAAATTACAGTTAATAATTACAATTAAAAATTACAGCTAAAGTTTTACAGTTAAAAATTACAGTTAAAAATAACAGCTAAAAATTACACTTAAAAATTACGGTTAAAATGGCGACATCATGAGCATCCGTTAGTCCTTGAAAGTGTTGGCAAATAAGAATAGAAACATATCAGTACAGTACACCAGTATTAGGATGAGTTTTGTAAAATGTTCGACTAGAACTTAAGATCGGAATAATTCGAAGATATTGCTACAAAAAGATGGGTTCAACATAATTTGCATTAGAAAAAATGAGAAAACCATAAAGACATGAAGGCAATGCAAGAACTGAACCATACACTATATTATTTTGTTATTCCCTCTTTTTTCTGTTCTCAGGACATATCCGCCGGCACACCAAATGGCCACCATGTGGGTCTCCTAGAGGGTCAAACCGAGCTGGAATCAACCGGCAAGTGCATCATGACTGATGCTGTGGTGGTTGACATGAGCGCTGTCATGAATAATGTCAACTTGCAGCAGGATCAGGGCAATAGGCGGGTCTAGAGCGGATCTACTTAACAGGATGAATGCGAACACGAATATATAGGGTTTGACAGGCAGACAAGCAGAAGCAGAAATAATACAGAAACAGAAACAAATCAATAGAAACCATAGTGTTCCCCCCACAATAAAACTATGATAGGGATACTTTCGAGTATATATTTTATGTTTACGAACAAAATAACAAACAAAACAAAACAGCAAACTAATTATGAATTCTAATTGAGACTGTATTTTTGTATGAGTTAAAACTAGCCCACCCATATATATCGACGAGTATATATGAATATATATTTGAATTGGGATTGCGATCATTTACCTTATACGTACATTTTGCGAACAAGGCTATTAAAGTAGAAAGAACTCTTGGAAACGATGATGGATACAAACACAATACCGCATATATACAATTATTAATCAATTATAACATGGGACATTTAACACTTAACATGTACGGAATGCATAAAGAATATAGTATACCAATTATCCTATGCTTTATATACAACATACCTATATGTAGAGAAATATTCAAATATAAAACATTTTTGTGATGTGTTTAGCAAGTAGGAGTGGCAGTTAAGGCAACAAATATGCATAATCTATGGGTATTATTTTAATTACAAGCAATTGTGTGGCTTTCTTTTGTTCGAATATGTACGAGTATATAGTACTATATACTATATTGTATGTGAAGAGAGAATATATTGTGATTCAGAACTCTAAGAGCAGCAGCTTGGCAATTTTAGTTTAATCTTTCGTTTAAGTCACCGGGTTGTAAACAAAAAGAAGATGATGAAGAAGAAGAAGAAGAAGAAGAAGCGTATGAACTCTAAGTTATGGATTATATTTAATTTGAGTTGAACGAGCAATTAAAGAACTTTAAACACACAACTCACTTATATCAATGTTTAGCATATATACACATACATATATATATCAAGTGCATACGTAGACTGATAGAAAATTTAGAATTTTAAATACCATATGCCCAACATTCGATTTGTACGCAAAAAGAAACTTGCAATAAACTTTATTATACAATAAAGATAACAAGCATTAATAATAATAATTTAATAAAGTGTTTATGGCTGAAACGGAAGCGCGACTTATCAACACGGTCATAAATCTTTAACTGCGTCGCTCTTTATTCCACTTCCACTTCACTGCAAAGTGAAAGGGCATATACCTTTTTCTAGACAAGTTGGTTCAACACCTAGCTAGAGGGGGAGAGAGAGAGAGTGTTACAGTGGAGTACTCTTTATCCAAAAAGAACATTTGATACTTCAGACAGACAGAAGAAGAAGAGACAGAAGAAGAATTAACCTATTTATAGGAAATCGGAAATACATATTTTATATATTAAATATAAAATACTCAGAAGAAGTTTAGTTATGTAGCACGAAAAGTAAAGTCGAATTTCTTTTGGGTATAGTTTTCTAGGAGCGGGTATACGAGTACATACTAAGTTTGATCCTTGTGGGCCCATGCATTTTCGAAATAAAGGCGGTTCTGTAGACGGACGGACAAACAATTTGGCCATCATGCTGATATGTGCTTTGCACGAATGAATCCATAGTCGGATATTTGTGTGTCATTCTGTCTGATGTTTGTTTATCTCCGAATGAACAAATCCTTTTTCTGTTGCCTATTTGGAAGTTTCGTATCATCCCTAACAGCTGCTATGTTTGACTCAAAACACTTCATTATGTCATATATTTGTTCATAAACTGTAATCCCACAGCAGTAGAGTTGAATTCTTTTTTTCTTTCACAATAAGTAACCCCTTTACTTACTCATTTGTATTCAAATGTAACTTTTTTGGTAAAATAAATATTCAGAATAGAACGCTTTGTCGAATCGATGCAATCATTTATGGATGAAAAGGACAATGCACGAAAATAGTAAGTAAAAGCATTGAGAATTGCACTTAATGATCGATTTCATCTAAGGGAATTAAAATAATATATATAGATACAAGTAGAAAGCAGAAATTGTATCCAATATAAAAGTTACTCAAAAATAATTAAAATATTTGGAATAATGATAAGAAATAAAGTAAATAAATGTAAAAATCGGGACTTCCAGTTAATAAACAATATTGGATCAACATTTAATCTTATTCTTTTTTTTGATTTTAAATTTCTTTCACTTCAACTCTTCTTGTCAAATCTTATTGAATATTTTGTTTATTTCTTTTATTAGTATATAGGAAACTGTTCAATATAATAAAAATTTCTTTAGTTTATAATTTGAAAAAAGGTTTCGAAAAACACAAAAAATTTGGGAAAAATTAATTAATTAATTTCTGTACATATTTCATTACTTTTTACTCGATAAACCGCATATTTAAATTCTTCATTGTTTGGAAATATTTGATCACTAACATATTTCTTTAAGTTGGGAAAAAGGAAATAATCCTAGTGGGCCAAGTCTGGCGAATAGGGGTTTATTTTTATTTTATTTATTTATTGGTGGTTTTTTCTTGTATCAAGTGGTTGGAAGTTTTCTTTATTGGAAATATTGTGATTCATGTTTGTTGTTTCTGAAAAGTATATTATTTATTTATTTAATATAGTAAATCAGCAAGTCGTGCTGTCGATACAATTATTACATATATATTTCCATCTTATATATATTATAATATTAAAAATTAAAATTAGTTGCAAGTGTATATAAGTTTCGGCTGGATCTGCGGCTGGTGCGGTTTTTTTATTTTTAGATTTAGTTTCTCGAGCATGAGTCAACCTGTACTCGTAGTACACTGATAAAAAAATAACGTAAATTTAAATATTTACACGCAGATTTAACTATTTTTAACATCGATTTTTCATCATCGTGTGTTTTAGGAGATTCAATTTCAAGTTGAATATTAAAATAATAAATTTAAAGTGTGACGATATTAAATTGATTCACGCCTAAGGTTTATTTTTTATAATTATAAAATATTTCTCCCGCTTTTATTCTACTCTGCTGTAATTAATTCTTTTCAATAGCGACATTTCCAAAATGCATATTTTATATAATTATATATATTTTGTATAGAATTATATAAATTTTTCGCGGAAAGTAACTTTTAAATTCTTATGTTATTAATAATTAATTATTTGGACGTTTTTTATGCCTTTTATATGGTTTGGATCAATAAATAAAATTAACTATTGGTTATTTGAAGTGGGCGCATATTAAAATTAAATCTGGCCTAACTTTAAATTGAATATGACAAACTTTAATGACGAAGATTTCCACTTTGTTTTGAATATTATTTATATTTAAATCAGTAATTGAATATGTTTTTATTTAAATTAACGATATTTTTATTTGACTTGGATTTAATTTAATTTAATTAAATTTAATATGAAAATATTCATCTGTACTATGCAGCTTTTTTGTCAGTATACTACGTTCATATTTGATTTGAATAAGAAGTAGTAGAACATTAAATTCAATATGAAAATATTCATCTGTACTATGCAGCTTTTTTTATCAGTGTACTGCGAGCAAGCCTGAAAAGCACCCTGAATGAATCACATTGACGTTTGCACTTGCAACGCCTGCGCAACAACAAGACGAACAAAAGCCGCAACAAGTGCCAAACAAGGCGAAGCGTGCTTCTGCACTCGTATAATACTATATATACCTATGGTGGGGTAAATACGAGTACAATCCAAATATAAGTGCAATTAAAAGCCGCGCAAATCTAGGCATAAAGTCACACAAAGAGATAAAGAAAATTGGCTTGGGCCAAGAGTCGGTCTGGGGCCTGAACTTGAAAGCCGGCTTGTGCTGTGACTGCAGGTGACTGACTGGCTGACTGACTGACTGAGTGAGTGTGTGAGTGCATGAATGAATGATGAATTGTGAATTGTGAATGTGTGATGATGTGTTGTGTTGCACTGCACACTTGTGTGGCTATAAAAATTACGACTCGACGCTCTCGCCGCGCCATGTGGGTGCCTGTTTTATTCAAATTTTTTTTATTTTTTATTACCATTATAGATAGTCAGTCAGTTGGTGGCTCGATTTATCGTTCAGTCGGTCGGTCGGTAGTTATGCGATATTTAAAAGCGCGCAATTGCTCGACTGTCGACTCTTGGCAGTTGGTTGACGGCCTGACTGGGTGACTGCCTGACTGCCTGACTGCTGGCTGACTGGTTGAATTGCCAGTTCGCTGCGTTGGAGTGTTTGGCGTCTGAAGGTCTACTTGGCTCACTGTCGAGTGTTGGTGTTTGCCACTGTCGCAGTCCCAGTTGTTGCTTTTCTGCTAAAATGAAATACGAGTGCATACAGCTACAACAACTAAACAACAACAACAACAAAGCAACAACAACAACAATTGAAACAAGTACTGCAGCAAATCATGTGAGTTGTGTGAAGAAAAACACCATTGAGCGACACGCTCGCGGCACCATTAGAAGAATAATGACCAACACTTGCACACAAGTGTATCTCCAGACAGGGTGACAGATAAACTCGTCGCCCGATAACTGGGTAGATATGGAATAGGTCGCATGGCTTTTTAAAGACTACAACTAAATGGAGTAGAAGTATTTGAAAAATATACATTTATAGGCAGAAAGTTAAAAAGTGAAAACTAAAAGAAAATGGAGAATACTTGAAACATAATTAAATTGCAAAAGAGAGCTTTTAATGCTATATTCGAGATACTATATCTCCTTTATTCAGGATGTTGCAAAACTACGAAATTGTGGTCCCTTCTGCTGAAAAGATAAAAACAAGAGAAAGAAGAGAAAGAAGAAAGCAAAAGCGTTGCAATTACTGCTGCAATTTTTAGCCTGTATTACAATGATGTACTTGTAATAATACTTTATAACGGAATGTTAGAAGATACTGGCTTCATTTCATTTCTCATGTTATAGTTTTTCTCATGGATACACCTAATTCTGTTTTTACACGGTTTGAAAATTTAAAATGTTATATTTATTCCATCTAGCAAGATTCATTTTGCATATAATCCATGTCTTTTTTTACACTTTTTTTAAACCCGACTTTTTTTGAATCTAATCTGCAAAATTATGTGTATTTTATAAAACACACAATCAGAAAGTAATTTGTAAATCTGCATTCCTGCCTTTCTCAAGAGGCTATCAATGTAGCCTTAAGATAACGCATCGTTTAGTTTCTTTCTTTTTTTTTAAATTTCTTTCAAATTGGCGCCATTTCTAGTCTATATATGATGTCTATTGAATTGTATCATTATTTATTATAACAAACAGTTTGCCAAACAACCTTTCTTTCAAATTAGCGCCAATATTACAATGTAGTACTTACTATCAGTTTAAGAGATTGCGTTGATACCAATACAAACGGCTATTTATTTTAGGAAAACAAGCCATGAAACAATTTTCATTTTATTAAAATTAATGCATAATCCATGTTATTTAATTCTTAAATATTTTTTCTAAAAATTCGAACGTTTTATATTTATAGTTTTAAACTTTGTTTTAAAAAAAACCTAATTTGTTAAATATTTAAAATTAAGTTACATTCCGTAATCTCTTGAACTGCAACTCGTAGTGTAGATTCTATTTGCATATATTATTTATTCAGTAAGAACTCAAACCATTACCAAGCTAAAAAGATTATGAGAAGATAAGTTTCTTGTTAACTAAGATAATAAGTTCCAGTCTCTTTGCCTATCAAACCGTAGCTTGAATATGAATTGCGATTCGTTTGCTTCGTCTTCATTCTTCATCTTTGTTTGTTGTCCTTGGTACGCAATGGTAATTGTCTTCTGAACATTTTGTATTCTTTCCGACATTGTCTTCCAATAGTTAAGCTCCGATGAATGCAGGATAACCTCACTTTAAATAAGTATTTGCTACCGGTTTCGGAGATTTGTGTGCATGCATCTACGAGAATGTATTGCCTTTATTTAATATTTTTAAAGATTTTTGTTTGATTTTTGACGCCTTGCTGATTTACAGAAATAGGATTACAAAATTACTCTTCAGCGTCTATTACAACAATAATTGTGTTCCTTTATTTTCATGGACAG